ATTCGAAACCTTCTAGATACATTAGAATACCTGAAACAACAGTATGAAAAACAAGCAGCCTTGATATTTTTGGATGCTGAAAAAGCCTTTGATAATTTAAATTGGCCTTTTACGTTGAAAGTTTTGGATTTTATGAAATTTGGGGAAAACTTTGTTAAATAGATTAAATCAATATACATACCACAAACCGCAAACATAATTGTTAATGGAGATTTTACTCAACCGTGTAAAATTCAAAAAGGTACGAGACAAGGATGTGCCTTGTCTCCTTTATTATTTATATTGGTTTTAGAAGTATTACTTAGAGATATTAGACAAGATGACAACATTTGGGGAATAAGAGTTAAAAGAGAAGAATATAAGTTAAGAGCTTCTATTGAAGACCTAGTCATTACCTTAGAAAACCCATTGGATGGGATTGAATCGTTAATGCAAAAATTGAGAGACTTTGGGTCGCTAGCAAGGTTCAAAGTAAACATACGAAAAACAACGGTTTTAACTAAAAATATGGATTTTTACCAACAGAAGAAACTGAATGAACTAACTGCATTTGCAATAGAGAAAAAAATAAAATATCAGGGAGTATATTTGACATCGAAGAATGCTGGTTTATTTCAGAATAATTATGTTCTACTTTGGACAGATATTAAAAAGGACTTAGACCGATGGGGAAAGTTACAATTGTCGGTATTAGGAAGAATATGGGTGATTAAAATGAATATTTTGCCATGAATTTTATACCTTTTCCAGACAATTCCAATATTGACTTCAGAAGCACCCTGTAAACAATGGCAACGTGACATCTCTAAGTTTATATATGCAGGGGAAAAAGCCAAGAATACAATATAAAGTTTTACAAGACGTGAAAGAAAGAGATGATTTGGGTCTTCCTGATTTGAAATTGTACTGTATAGCTTGCTGTTTCATATGCTTTGAGAAATGAAAAATTATTAAACTTGGAAGGTCACAATTTGAGATTTGGATGGCATGGATATTTGTGGTACGATAAAGTTAAAGTTAATGTGGACTTTAAAAATCACGATATTAGAAGATCTCTATGAAAAGATTGGACTAAATGTAGACCACTTTTATGCCCTAAGATGCCAATGTGGACCTCTACACGAGAAGCCTTCTATAGAACTGAGATAAAAATAAATGGATGAGATACCAAGCCTTATTAGAAAAACAACAAGAAGAATATAAAATTAAATCAAAAGAACAATTGGGTTTAGAAGGATATACCTTTCAATGGCTTTCTATTATGCAATACAAAGAAAAATGTAAAATTGATACAAGAGAATTTGGATTTGAACAGAATAAATCAGAATTTGAAATCCAATTATGTGAAACAGATGAACATTTCATAG